AGATAATGGAGTACTGGCAAACCAGTGAACTCCATTGTCTTTGGAAGATCTGTCCCATTTTTTTTTTCTCTGTAAAGTGGGTGTCTTCATCAGAAACCGGTGTGTGGAGTACCATGATTGTGACTAATGCATGGATTAGGAAGCTGGTAGAAGCATGGGGGAAGGGAGTAGAGGAAGCACAACAAAATCCATAATCACTCTTTCAGTGAACATGAAATTCTGCCTCATTCAAGATCAAAGAAGCACAATTGTCAAGCATATCTTGTCACTGGGTGGCTGGCTAATACTCCCAAGAATGGCACCATATCACATGTTTACTTTTGGTTGCTTTTGCTACAAATTGGTACATGGCATTGCCAATAACCCTGATAGTCTCAGTTAAGGGGAAGTCCATGTTGGTGAGCCTGTATGTGGCTTTTATTCCTAACCATAGCTAGTTTACTATTATTGAACAAGTGCTGTAGGAGTTGGGGCAAGGGACAGGCTGACCGACATACATGGAACAAAATACAGAAAGAGATACACCACCAGGATAATATAACGCCTAATCCAGCTAGTAGGCAACTCAAGTCACGTGGTTACATGGTACACCATTGTTTCCTTTTTATACAGGGCTCAGTAGCAAGACTAGAACTATTCCTCAAAAGGATAACATTGGTTGCAAAGAGAGCATGATCTTGCTTCAGGATTCTGAAGGACACCTCTCTTTGTTCCTACTGGGACTTGCAACTTTTATAGAGTATCCTGATATAGGGCACTTCTGTTGCCATTAGATCAACTGAGTCATTAAAAACAAGTACAGAGCTGCTTGTACCACCACTTGAGCTAGCTAGCTGGATAGCCTTTTCTTTTGAGGAGTTAAAGCCAGAGCAGGCAACCTTTCGGGGCATTCAGTAAAATCGGAGCAGCATAAAAAGTCTCACCAAGCACTGTTCCCCATTTGTATTTGAGACTGTGGAGAAAGCAGTTTGTCATTTACTTTGCTGAGGTATGTCAACAGTCCATACAGATTAACAGTCCATACAGGGAGACAGAGCCCTATATTTTCATGGAATTTATCTTCTGCCTGCTGGCATACTTGACATCCTTCCTAGGCACCTAAGAGTATATATCTGGTCACTTCTTGCTTTTCAGGGCCTAAAAGCAAATGTAAGCGGTGTACTGGACTATTGTAGTGTTCTGTAGGAGGAGACGATCAGTATCTTTGAAAACGAAATTGGAGTACAGAGGCAGAGAGTGCGTATAACCCTGAGATAAGACTGTGAGGTCTCACTACTGTCCCACCCAACTGAATGTGACCCCTTCCCGTGTTCTCTATTTTTAAGGTAGGGCAGAAAGTGTTTACCAAATCAGCAGATAAATACAAGGTGCCAGAGATTGTGATGGTCTGTTCTAGAAACAGATCACGTTTTGGAGATCATTGCAATTGGAGTTACCATCTGAATAAACTTCAAAGCTATCTTGACTATTTGTGTCTCCAGGTGGGCCAGTTAAAGGAGAATAGGAGAGGTATTCCCACTCTCAGCTTGTGGTAGCATTTCTGAGCATTTCCACAGGATGCTGCTCTTGGTTTGCTCTTGTTAGACTGCAGAGCCCCTAGGGGCTTCTGACTACTTCTTCCCTCTAAGAGCCTTGACTCAGGGAGTTAAGGGTGAAAGCTGGACTTGCTGAGTGTGTCTGTTAAAAATGCCAGGGAGATAACCACGTGGTGGATTTAGGTTCCCACTGGGCCTATCAGAAACAGTTCTACATAATTCTTTTTAATGCTTGAACAATTTTACGTAGCATTCATATGTTAGAGTTGTTTATGCTTTTTAAGATCGATAGGCTTGTTGATCTTTTTTTGCTATTCATTTATTCAGTGAAGAATATTAAAGTCCCTCTTCTTGGCCCATTTTTACACTGACTTGTCTGACTTTTCTCAGAACTAGAAAGTTCTTCATACATTATGGATATTGCTCCTTCTTAGATATGTCTCTACCTTTTGTTTTTAAGGCTTTTGATGGTAATTGTATCTTTAGTTGCTTATTTCTCTTAAGTTGTACTCCGATACATGAAAGGTTATCAATGAAGTTGAATTTCTCATATTATTTGCTTGTTGTAACTTTCATGATGACATCTTTTATCCTTTTTGCACTGGACTATTTTTCTGTTACCGATTTGTAGGAGTTTTCTTTTTCCTGTATTAGGGATATTAACCCCTTTGCTCATCATATGCTGGTGTTTTCTGACACACACATACACATACACACACACACACACTCTTTCTATATATCTCTAATACAGATACACATTTGCGTGTAGCATTAAAAAATTATTTGTGTTGTCAGGTTTGACATATTTTCCTCCATGGTTTTTATATCATGCTTTAGATAATATTTTATCCCTCACTCCAAGATCATAAAGATAAATTTATATTTATTGTTTCATGTAGTAGTTTAATGGTTTCAACTTTTAATATTTAAAGTAATAGTTGCAGATTTATTTTGCTGTATGAGGTAAGGTAGTTTTCTATTTTAATCCCAAATGGTTAGTCAGTTTTCTTGATGCCGTTCACCGAATTATCTGTTTTTTCTCAACCTAATATGACTTTTTTAAATGACAACAACCCTCTAGAGATGAGATAAATGCTCATGCTACAGTTTGTCTTATCAACATACTTGTTTTTGGAAAATAAAAGCTTTAAACCCCTATAAGGCAGTCCAAGAAAACCTGTTGAGATTCAGAAGGAAATATATAACTAATAGCAAGCAGCCATAAGTTAAACATAGCAAACAAGATTTCTCTGCCTTACAAAAGAAAAATCTACTACCCTCCCCCAAAAGGCAACAAGAAATTCTTTTGAAGCTAGCTGAATGGTTAACAGTTGCTATATGCTATATGATTCCTTTACAGGATTTATATTTTTCAGCTTCAACTTGAAAACAGTGTCATTACATCATCCTCAATGAACCAAAGTTATCCTGCATTTGGGATACAGTCATTCTCTTGATCCCATAAATAAGTAATGACTATTTTAAAACATTTAAGCTGTATAAATAAACCACTCATTTAAAATAAAAAGAATGGGGTTGGGGCGCCTCCGTGGCTCAGTCGTTAAGCATCTGCCTTTGGCTCAGGTCATGATCCCAGGGTCCTGGGATCGAGTTCCGCATCGGGCTCCCTGCTCCGCAGGAGGCCTGCTTCTCCCTCTCCCGCTCCCCCTGCTTGTGTTCCCTCTCTCACTTGTCTCTCTCTGTCAAATAAGTAAAATCTTTTAAAAAAATAAAAAGAATGGGTCAGTTGGATCATTTTTCTCTAGTTCTTGGTAATGTGCAGTCCTTACTTTGAAGATGGGTATTCAGCTTCTACTTGACATTTTACTTGTCTGCACACATGCATAAAGCTATAGGACCTCCCCATTTGTGAAGACTAACCTTTTTATAAAAATTGCAGTGTTTATAGACTTTGGATTGTGAGCTTAGCCTGAAGTTTAACTCTTGACTTTTAATTTTAAATATAGTGCAGTGAACTTTTTATATACCCTTCACCTGGTTTCACCAGTCAGCATTTTTCCATTTTTGTTTTGTATCTCTCTCCAAATTCAAATTTCAAAATCATCTTCAAGTGTCTTCAGTAGCCCCACGTTTGTTTTATAGCATTTTCCCCCCTTTTTTCATTTTTTTCCTTCTGATTTAGAATCCAATCCAAAATCCTACGTTGCTTTTGGGTATTTTAGTAATTTGGGTGCTTTAGTTCTTTAATTTGGAAAGCTCCCCTGCTTTGTCTTTTTTTTTTTTTCCTTTTTCATGACATTGGCATTTTTAAAAACTCAGACCGGTTGTTTTGTAGATTATCCTGCAGTCTAGATTGGTCTGTTTCTTATCCCCTCATGATTAGATTCAGGTTAAACATTTTGGGAAAAAAAAATAGATCATATTGTGACTTTCTCACTGCATCATGTCAGGAAGCTCATCATGCCAGTTTGTCTCATTGTTGCTGCTAAACTTGATTATTTATTCTGGGATGCCTGGGTGGCTCAGTCAGTTAAGCATAGGATTGACTCTTGACTTCGACTCAGGTCATGATCTCAGGGTTGTGAGATCGCGCCCTGAATCAGGCTCTATGCCGGGCCTGGGACCTGCTTAAGACTCTCTCTCTCCCTCTCCCCCGCCCCACCACATGCACACACTCTCGCTCTCTCCCTCTCTCTCTAAAATTAAAAACAAAAAAATTTGATCATTTGTGGGTTTTTTTTTTTTTTTAAGATTTATTTATTGGAGAGAGCAAGCACACATGCACGCATGGGGAAGGTAGAGGGAGAAAAGCAAACTCTGCACTGAGCAGGGAGCCCAACTCTGGGCTCCATCTCAGGACCCTGAGATCATGACCTGAGCTGAAATCAGGAGTCCAACGCTTAACCAGCTGAGCCACCTAAGGTGCCCTGATCATTTGTTTTAAGCAACAAATTTATCCAAGGTGAAGTTCTTTTATTAATGTCATCCATGTGGTGATAATTTCAGATTCTGTGAATGTTCTCTGGTTTCAGCATCCTCTGATGGCACTTGCCTGGATCCATTATTACATGGAAAATTTCAAATGTTTCATCTTTATTATTCCTCCTTTGTTTATTAACATTTGTTCACTTTGTATTCCACTGATTCATGTAATGTTACAATTATTTTCCTCACAGTTTTTATGCCAGTAGAGTTAACTGAAGGTCCATGTGCCATTGTTGTAAATGTTCTGAGGAGCTAGAGAGGAAAATAATATTTTTGGATCATAAGTGCAGTTTTACATGTTTACATCCCCACACAATTTCCTCTTGAAAATTAATTCATTATTGTAACTAATTCGATTTAAATAAACCACTTACCCTTCATTTTTTTCTCAATTAACATTTTCTATATTATCTCTTTGGTTTTTTTTCTAATTTTCCAATTGCCTGTATTAATTTCTAACTTAATTTCTGTTGCCCTAACATTTATGACAATTATACATTTATCTTTTCATCATAATAGCTGTGGAAATACAGAGGAGTCTGAATCAACTTGGAACGCCTCAAGATTCACCTGAATTGAGGCAACAGCTGTAAGTATTTAATAATTTAAAAAAAAAATCACTTATTGTTATGTTGCTTTGATGGTATGTAGTATTACATTTACTGGAGAAACAAGGGAAATTAATAAGATTTTTCAGCTCCTTTATTTGTACCAACCTTTTGTGTAGGTTTTTCCCTGTTCAGGGTAGGCAGATATTTTTCTTGATTTTAAAGAGCTGGCTCACTCTAGCAAAGCAGAACTTTGTTAGTTGCCTTTCTTATACTTACTGAATAGGTCGGGTTTTTTTGTTTTTTTACTTTTTTAAAAAGATTTTAGTTATTTATTTGACAGAGAGAGACACAGCGAGAGGGGGGAACACCAGCAGGGGGAGTGGGAGAGGGAGAAGCAGGCTTCCCGCGGAGCAGGGAACCCGATACGGGGCTCGATCCCAGGACCCTGGGACCATGATCTGAGCCGAAGGCAGACGCTTAACGACTGAGCCACCCAGGCTCCCCTGAATAGGTCGTTTTGATGGCTTTTGAAAGATGATATTCTAAGCTTCTCTATCTATGTGATTTACTTCCCATAGCTAGCAATTGCTTCAGTGACTAGATTTTTATTTGGTTTAGATTCCAGTCCATACTCAATATGAATTGCTATCCCTAAAAAACTTATACCCAAATCTTTGAATTTCAGAAAGCATTAGCCTTTGTTTAAGGGAAAAATGTTCTAGTGAAGTTCTGTAGTACATGTTTCAGGAAATTAATATGCTGTTAGAAGAACAACAATAATACTTTGTGGTGTTACAGATTTTACAGTGTTTTTACACATTTTCTCATCTGAATCTTTCTCATCTGGAGTAAAATACATAGATCAAAACAATTATTTTCGGGGTGCCTGGGTGGCTCAGTCAGTTAGGGCCTGCCTTCAACTCAGGTTATGGTCCCAGGGTCCTGGGATCGAGCTCCGCGTTGCACTCCCTGCTCAAGGATAATTCAGTGCCGTTACAGCCATATTTCAAGTAACATATATGTAGTAAGTGATATTCCAAACAACGTTAGCTATACAAGGAAAAATTACAAAGAGGAAGAAATTAAGTTAGGTGATGGGAATTCATGTTTTTTATGAAGTACATTTTAAAGAATTTATAGTTACGCCTAATTTATACTGATTTTTTTTTGCAGTGGAGAGATATTGAGGTGGTAAAAAATGCCCCAAGTCTAAATATTAAACCATAAACTAAAATGGAATAGAGGGGCACCTGGGTGGCTCTGTCAAGTTAAGCTTCCGACTCTTGATTTCGGTTCAGGTCTTGAGCTCAGAGTCATTCGATCAAGCCCCAAGTTGGGCTCCCCACTCAGTGTGGAGTCTGCTTCCCTCCCCATCCTTCAGCTCCCCCTCAACTTCTGCACACTTTCTCTCTCTCTCTCAGATAAATAAATCTTTAAGAAAAGCTAAAATGGAATAGAAACACATAATTATTAATAGATACAATATTTTGCTAGGGTTAGTAGTGGAGATTGTGAGTCGGTAGATATCAATAAAGTCTTTTCAATTAATTAAAGAAATTTAGCTATCTTACATTTTCTAAAGATTTTAAAAGACATATTAAAGGTAAAGTACTTGAAAAATAGATAAAAGTAGGTGGTAATTCTTCCTTACTAGTCAAATAGATGTATCTATACTTAAATACTATTATACAATATCTCATTATTTTAAAGGATCCCAAGTGTGACTAACAGGTGTATAAATGAGAGATAATATATTTGAGAAGTACTGATGTAATTTGTAAAGCGTCACATTAATATAAACTTTTTTTTAGAGTAAAGTTCTTTAGTTAAAAATCTGACTTTTTGGGACGCCTGGGTGGCTCAGGTGGTTAGGCATCTGCTTTTGGCTCTGGTCATGATCCCAGGGTCCTGCGATCAAGTCCCACATCAGGCTCCTTGCTCGGCGAGGAGTCTGCTTCTCCCTCTGCCTGCCACTCCCCCTGCTTGTGCACGCACGCTCTCTCTCTCTCTAGCTCTATCTCTGACAAATCTTTAAAAAAAAAAATTGACTTTTTACTTTATAAGCTAGCTAGCAAGATAGATACAGATACTGATACAATTTACTTCTTATATTGTTCTTCCTCTTTACAGAGAAATGGTGTTATTTTTTCCACAGCAAACTTGGAAAATAGTAAATGCATATTATTATTAATTACCTCTCCCCCTCCTTTTTTAAGTATCTATAAGGATATAAATGTCCAGGTAGAGAAAGAGGAGAGGCTACCTGTACCCCAAGCCCTGGGAATTGGATGAAGTCTTAGGCGACAACTCCTCTTCGTTTATTCAACTGACCTCCCAATTGTGGAATGCAGACAAAAGGCTCCCACCGCCCCACCCCCATATCTAAAGCATCAGACATCCCACAGTCTGGCTTTGGCTCGAGTCATCTTCCTTTCATAATGGCTGCTGAGATTTATTTCTCAAAGCTTGGTTGCCCCATGTGAATAAAGATCTTTCCATGTAATATTTGCTCAATATTTATAAAAAAAGTAGAATTTGGAATTTTTTTTTTCCTAAGTAGGCTCCACACCCAATATGGGGCTTGAACTCACAACCCTGAGATTTAAGAGTCCCATGTTCTACCAACAGAGCCAGCCAGGTGCCCTGAAATTTTTGTTTTCATAGAGAAAATTTAGAGCCAGTCTATAAAATAGTGATTTTTATCAAATTATTCATCAACTAGCAGAGCTGTAACTTAAAGAAATCTCTTCGTTCTTTGGATATAACATGTGTTTTCTCACTTTAGGCAACAGAAGCAGCAGTGTACTAACCAACTTGCCAAAGAAACGGATAAGTACATTAAAGAGTTTGGATCTCTGCCCACCACCCCCAGTGAACAGGTATCAAGCCTTAAGACACACTGTTGATGTATTGAATGTGAAAGAAATCACATACATTGTAGGGTCTTTGAACTGTTATGCTAGAAAGGAAATTAGGGGGGAAAATTGTATTTGAGATTAGTTCACAGAACACAAAACTATATTTAATTGCCCAGGTAGTATCCTGTGGTTCAATAAAGCAAAAATTATTTCCATGCAGTTGCCCTGACCCATAATTAAGCAAGTGCTCAGAAAATGCTTCCTGAGTAATTGTTTCCTGGCCTTCCAGAGCTGACTCCATGTGACATGCACACTCATTCAGGATGTGAGGTTTCCTAGGGGCACATATTATTTCCTTGCTTATTATTTAGCGGAAGTTATTACTTAGGTAAGAGTACAAGGTTTTATTTTCCTAAAAAGAAAACAAAAAGAACTACTTCAAAATAATCTCAAAATCATTGGCCCAGTTTTTAGGATGAAAATTTGAGGTGAGAAATCCAACATTATGAACGTTTTGCCTCAAGATGGTAAATATACATAGCATTTGAACATGTTGTTAAAATGTTATTGAGATTTAATCAGTAGGGCCCCGTAATTGGAGAGTGAGTGAGAATTTCAGAATAAAATGAAGAGCCAGCTAGTGGTGAAACAACTTTTGCAAATTCTATTGAACTTCACAGCTTGATTCTAGTAGGTTTCTCCCCCTTTCCTCTAGCGTCAAAGGAAAATACAGAAGGATCGCTTAGTGGCTGAATTCACAACATCACTGACAAACTTTCAAAAGGTCCAGAGGCAAGCTGCAGAGAAAGAGAAAGAGTTTGTTGCTCGAGTAAGAGCCAGTTCCAGAGTATCTGTAAGTATTTAACAAGGCATTATAAAGTGAATATGATGTTCCCTTGAAAGACTACATTAGCATTTTTCCAAGTCATAAGGATCTGTGACTATCTTGGCAATCAGTATTTGAATATTTATTTTCAGGTTTTTCTGCTCAATTTTAAGAAGGATGGTAGTTATGTGTTGCTGTGATTATTTTGTCCATGTCATGGAACCAAAGATTACAGATTATTATATAAAAATTTGGAAGCATTTTGTCAGAAAAAACTAGGGGTCAGACCCTGAGTGATATTCCCACATTGATTTGTACTAAAGGCTGTCACTTTCTGTCAGGGCTCATGTAGGGAACACTTTACTCCTGGGTTATATGAAGATGACGGAAATGAACAGTCAATATGTTGTGTGAATACTGAAAATGAATATAAGCCTGGAGAAAATAAAAGGAAAACTTAAAGTGGAATTTTGAGTTAATCTAATTTTAAATTCCCTTCAAAACTATTGCAAGTTGTTTCCTTGTTCCTTAAGGTTGAGGCTGCAGGACTATAGTACATTTTAATCGAGTAATATTAATTACTTGGCCCTTGAGAATATTTAATGAATTCCTTCCTTGTCAGCTTAGGATACAATTTTACTATTACTCGAAGCACTTGACCTAGAAAATGAGAACAAAAACATTTCTCTTTCTCTCCACACACACACACACACACACACACACACACACGTGCGTGCACATGCGTACATAAATCAGTTTAGATTATTATAAGAGAAAATGTGTTTTGGTGTTTTTTCTTTGCCCCTTCTCAATCCATTCTATTACTAAATTATTCAGGGTGGTTTTCCTGAGGACAGCTCAAAGGAAAGGAATCTTGTATCCTGGGAAAGGTAAGAAATACAAAACTTACAGATCAAAAGATAATTTTTCAAATGTATTTAATACATTATGGTCCCTGCAGCAGAATGAAAGCTTTCAGTTTATTATATCATGACTGTCCTAAGTTATTTATAAATAGAAAGCAATAAATTTGAAATTTTTTTCAAAATAATTATTTATAAAGTCTACATATATATAAAATATTCCAATGTAGCAGTAATACTTTGTACAAATAATTATTTACCCAAGTAAATATGATTGACTTAATTATTATTTGATGGAGATTATTTCCTCCGTGACGTTTAAGTCAACCAAAAAGAAATACCCAGTTGCCAAATATAGTTTCCAACAATTAAATAATAACTCTAAAAAAAAAATCAATGAAATGGAACATGAATAGTTTGATTAATATTTCTGTTATAATCTTAAAATTGAAGAATATAAATAAGTTGAAGCAATTCTCTGACTTTGAAGAAAAGATATTCTATTTCATGTTTCTTAAATAAGGAAAGAAGTCCCATTAATTTAATACCATTCCTTTTTTTTTTTCCCATGTTCTGTTCTGTCTGTTAGCCAAGCTCAACCTCAGGTGCAGGTGCAGGATGAAGAAATTACAGAGGATGACCTCCGCCTTATTCAGGAGAGAGAATCTTCTATTAGGCAGCTTGAAGTAAGCTTGATGTGGCAGTTGGATGGCTGCTCTGTTCTCAGCGTGTTTGTCCTCAAGATGCTTAGACAATGCTGGGGGAGGGGCCTGAGAAAGAAAACTAAATATATCAGTATGGTGGCATTTTGTGTAAATGAGAATAATTCCCTTTTTTAAAATAAATCTTGTTAGAATTCGTCCTAAAATGAGAGAACATACCTCCCTCATTTCCTACTTTTGTTTTTTATCCTGTCAGATCATCTCAGGTCCTTAGCATGGAGAAAAACTCAGTCCAGACAGGTCTGCTCAGGGAGTCTGGACGACTTCCGGAGCACATGATACACCTCAGAGCCGCATGAATAAGACTTGACAGGGGCTGTACAAGTATTTTATTTCTCTTGGTATGTTCATGACGTCAAAGAGATCTGAAGGGTTTAGTAAGCCTTAGTTCTTATGGAACCTACCTATTCTCTAGAAGGTTGGCTAATGGCTCACCGTAGCTACAATTTATTGAGGGTTTTTAAGCACCATGTGATAAATTCTTTGCATTATCTCATTTAGTTCTCATAAAAACCATGAAGTAGTTAACTGTGTCGTCATCATCACCATTTTATAGGTGGGAAAACTAAGACACAGGATGAATATGTAAATGGCCCCCCCATAGACTGTTTAAACTTAACTCTAATCAGGCAAAAGAGTAGTTATCATATATTAAAGAAAAGTAAAGTTATAACTTGTTCATCACTATTCCATTGCATAACCAAACTTATTAATGTGAGACTTAAAATTTATACCTAATGTTTTATACTTTTGTAATGTCAAATTGATGTGTAAGTTTTTACAAGGAATAAATCATAGCAATGGTATTTTATACTCTTATGAGGTAATACTGCTAGTGATAACAAAACTATCAGATTATATCAACATAAACTCAGTGACCCAGGACGCTTCTCTGTTAATAGATTCCTGGTTTCCATGCTGCCTCGCTTGGTATTTTTAATGTCACAAACTTACCTTTAAAGAACTGGTTACAGTCATTCAAGATTGTCTTACTTAGGGTTGCCTCTAGTCATATAGTTTCCTGATATTTCCAAAATTTATGTATTAAGCCTAGATGCATTCTCACTTGTGTCTAAGTGGTGGTTTGGGGTTTTGTTTTCTGTTTTTTGTTTTTTGTTTTTTGATTTTTCCCCTTTGTGGATTGAGGGCTGAATTTCTGATTATATTAACACATGCCTTTTTCTCTCAGGCTGATATTATGGATATCAATGAAATATTTAAAGATTTGGGAATGATGATCCATGAACAAGGAGATGTGATAGGTAAGCCCCACTGGGGTGGGGGAAGGCACGCAGTTTACCTGCAGGAACCTCTCAAGCAAGAGTAACCCCTGTCTCTCTGGGACCCCCTGGAATTAAAAGTACAGCCTCTGCCAACAGACAGAGCATCACCCTTGGCATTATCTAAACCAGACCTCATCTTTGGCTCCCACTGATTGAATCAACTGGCTCCATTTATTTCTGAAGCCCCACAGCTCACCAGAACCTGCTGCTGCTGAGACCGTGGAGCCAGCCTCTAGTCTCACTGCCGCCTGTTTGCCAGACCCCTGGTTTCCGTCTCAACCCCACTAATTCTCATCACACCAAGTACTTTCTGGGAAACCTGTGCTCTTTATAATTGTGCATGCTACCTTGTTTTTTAGATCAGAGGGAATAGGTAGCCGTTTGCCCAATCATTTATTCCATTGTCTTTTCGGTACATTTAAAATTTAGTGGTATTACTTAGATGCGAAACATTCTTTTACAAATTCTTTAAAAAAAAAAGTCAGTGGCTAAGACTCCCTGAAAGTTTTGCTCTTCAGGTAAGGTGTAACTGTCAGCACTGATCAGTGTCCTGATCATTTTTACCATTTAGAAATATGAAGCTGTCAGTGGATGTGGCTAAAGATAGATTTCATATATTTTCTGATTTTGGTTCATTGAAATACTTGGACCTATATTTTACTATAGCAATTATTTGCCCATTCTTAACCCTTCTCTGTAGCCACAGTAGATCATGGGGTAAAATTTCAAAAACCAATTCATTGGTTCATCCAGTAAACATTTATTGAGTGCCTGCTATGTCTGGGCACAAATCTAGGCACTGGGGATTTAGCTGAACTTAAACAAGAGGTAGAAGACCCCGCCTTCATTAATCTTATAATCTAATCGGAGGAGAAAGAATTTTTGTAAAAGGAAAGAAAAGTAAGTAAATGCCAATAAGTGCTCTCAGGAAAATAAGGCAGGTAGTGGGATGGGGCTGCTGCTGGTGGGGAATGTTACTGCTTTACTAGGGTGGTCAAGGAAGACCCTACTGACAGATAACATTTTAGTGAAGACTTCATGGAATTAAGGGAGCAAGTGAAAGAAAATTTTCCAGGTAGAGCAAAGGGCAAGTGCAAAGGCCTTCAGGCAGAAGCTCATCTGATGTTTTTGGTGAGTGAAACGAGCAAGAGGGAGGCAGAGATGACAACAGAGGTCACGAAGTTTGGCGTCATGTAGGGCGCTGAGCCCTTGTGAGGACTCGCATTACCATTAACGGATGGGAGGCCACAGGAGGGTTTGAGCAGAGGAGTGTTATCATCTGACTTAAGTTTTAATAGACTCGCTTTGGCTGCTAGTTTGAGAGCAGACCGTAAAGGGACAAGACCAGAAGCAAAGAGACCCCTTCCAAGGTGATGGCAGGAATCGGGGTGGGCAGTTGCCTCAGATCGGGATGGAAGCAGTGAAGCTGTGAGAAGCGGTGGAATTCTGGATAGCTTTAAAATGGAGAACCAAAAAGATTTGCTGACTTAGCTGGATGTGGGTGTGAGAGAGAATGAATTCAAGGACAATGCGTAAGGTTTGGGCCAAGCCCAGGGAAACTGTGAGGTTGCCATTTTCTAAGCTGGGGCAGTCTGGAACTGGAGCGGGTTTGGAGGGATGGAGATCAACAATTTGGGGATATGTTAAGTGTGAGGTGCCAGTTGAAATGAAGGAGGCTTGCTTGGCAGTCATGAATTCGAAGTGAAAGAAATCAACGTCGGTTATTTTTTTTGTACCCGTGTGCAGCTGTGAGGGTGCGGGTTAGGGTGTTGTCACATAAGTCTGACCAAGGTAGGTGGCAAGGGAGCCAAGGGTAAGTGCGAGGAGTGTGGCTCAGTGGTGGCCCGGGGGATCTAAGCTGGATCAGGAGGAAGGTGAGGGCATGAAGTGTGTTGAGGGGCAGTGAAACAGTGGTAGGTCAGTGACGTCGGGGTGCTGGAAGGAGAGTGCTAGACAGGTAGCCGGTGATGCTCAGAGAGTGAGGTTTGAAACTGAGTTTATAGAGAAGTTGCAGTTATCGGTAGTGACGAGGCTTGGGATATGATCGTGGAGGTGGGTGGCTGGGAAGAGAAAACAGGCAAAGTCATTGAAAAAGTATGGTCCAGGCATGGAGAAGGCAGGTGTTAGCAGGTCAGCAGTTGGCTTGTGAAATTGCCAATTTGTGTAAGAGAAGCATTGAAGGGCCCATCAGCGAATCCAGGGCTAAAATATTCAGAGAATGCAGGAAAGACCATGAGGTCTATAGATATCTGTTATGGGGGGTTGGATGCATTTTTAAGCATGAGTTGTAAGCTGGGTGTTGGTTGGGAGAAGGGGGAGGCCATAGTCTCAGGCTGGGGGGGCCACTGGTTCCACCTCTAGGCCAGAGCAGCGAGGGAGGGGACACTGTCGCCAGGTAAGAAGGCTTCCTGAGCCCTCAGGGAGGGCTGGGTTTTAGCTCTGAAGGAGGTCGTTGACTGATGGCTTTCAATACTCTGTGTTCACTCACGGGAACAGTTGTTAGATGTTCGGTGCTGCCTTGACCATCAGAGCACGCAAACTCCCTAGTACCTTTCGGGGCTTACCAGGTAGAACAGGAATTGTGTCGTAGTGAGGATGATCCAGTTTCTTTTCAAATATCTGTGTGTTGTTTGGATCATTTGAGAAATAGTGTAAAGAAGACTCCGAGCCAGTTTAAAAAGAAATTCAACTTTGCCTGTATACTACCAGTGTTAACATTTGAATAGTGAACATGTCTGATCTTATGTTGCATGAAGTCTTATGATTTAAGCAGCTCTCTTACTGGAGCATCAACACACGTCTAACAGCTTTGTGTGTGTGTGTGTGTGTGTGTGTGTGTGTGTTTTATTTTAAAGACAGCATAGAAGCCAACGTGGAGAATGCAGACGTGCACGTTCAGCAAGCAAACCAGCAGCTGTCAAGGGCAGCAGAATATCAGGTAATATTAACTGCAGTGAGTTATCTTGTAACTTAGGCTTTCCAATCTGTGTGTGTGTCTGTGCGCGCATGTGGTGTGTGTGTGTGAGAGAGAGAGAGAGTTCAGGTATAAGGTGGCTGGAGATGTTAAAGTTTAAAATCCCATGGAAGACAGGTCAGAAATCTGCCAGTCCGTTTAAAACTGGGGTTAGCCTGTTTCCTGGTTATTCTCAGGGTTGAACAGAATTGTGGCCCCCAGGGATAGGAAGTTCAGTGTTTAGAGTCCTGAGGGGAGCAGTAGATAGAGAAGTCCAGGCATTTCTGACAGCTGGAGGTCTCTGATGCTATTGTGACCTTCCAAACCAGAAACCTCTTTGATAACTTTCTTCCCCTGTTTCTCTCACTGTTTCCAGCCACCTTTTCTTTCTTTTTTGTCCGTGGCACTCTGCAGTAAGAAGGCAAAGATCTTTGCTCTAGAGAGTTCTCATCAAGTCCTATGGAAATTATATTCCCTTGGAGTGCCCTTGATCACTGGGTATTGTCAGCATTCAGCAGACCCTTTACCAGGAATGAGTTGATTTCTTCAGTGGATCAGGTTAATATAGGGAGTCTGTATATGTGACAGATAGGAAGCACATCAGAGAACTACACAGATATTAGGACCATGAATATAAATATATCATACGATATATAGACAGTAAGAATGAGGCCAGGCTCTTTGGGAACCCCTAAATACCACCATAGCATTTGATTTCCCTCTTAAAATTCCACTTTTTGTTGTTGTTCATAATTATTTTCTCAGACCGTGTTGCCTTCTTCTAAAATACCTAAGATGTTATCACGGTCTTAGATATTTTCAATTGCTTTTTGCTTTTCTCACTAACCTCAGAAGTCCCCTTTCATTTCAGTGCCATTTTTCGCTGGACAAATCACTGCATACTTAGTGGTACATAGAGAACGGTAAAGCTATGTGGAGATTGCTGAGTTACGGCCAGCTGTACTCAGTGATGTAGTAACTCTAACTCGCCTTTACCTTCTGTGTGCATGTGATTCAGGTATGCAGCTCAGTAGAATTACTGTCACACGTAGGTATCATTCATGAACACACACACACGCACTCACAATAATCTATAAATGCCAACAGTTACTCAAACGTAGTGTTTAGCAGGATTTATCAGTAACGAGGTTTGCATGTTATTTTGTTTTGCTTTTGGATTTTGGAGGGATGTAGATATATCTCCAAGTTTTACTTTTCCCCTCCTTGGGGAAGGGTAAACCCTACAGCCACTCTGGGAGAAAGGAGCACATCTTCCCAAGCCACACCTCCATATCTAGAGCTGCCCCGTACTTAATCCCATGGGCCCTGGAGGGATGAGGGAAGAGCCATGCAACATCAGTGCTGGGGAAAAAAGCAGCTTCCCTGTAGTTCTCCTTGGAAACCTTGATATTAAACTCTTGCCTCTGCAAAATATGGCGCTCCTTAATAGTTTGGGTGAACCATGAGTGTAGGGGAAGCTGATCAGTACTTATCATTGCAGTACCCTGGGAACCTCACCATCCCACACTAGGGAGGGTGCCCTGGGCCACAGATAACCCTGTAGGGGGAAGCCTGTGATTGTTCTTACAGGTATATTACACATGTGTCTGTGGTACTCAAGGGGAGTCTGGGGAAAATATGTAGGCAAGATGAAACTGAAACTCTAGAGAAGTCATACTTCATGTAAGGAGGAGTATTCAGTTGAAAAACTTGCTGAATATGTGGTATACTGAAAGTCATCATAGTTTTCAGGAGAATTTCAGAGTCGGAAACCTGTCTTTCTGTAAATTTTATGGTACTACTAGTTGACAAAGAAAATTTACAAACTTTTCAACCTTATAAGAAAAAAATTCCGGGGCACCTGGGTCGCTCAGTCGGTTGAGCGTCTGCCTCTGGCTCAGCTCATGATCGCAGGGTTCCCCTTGTTAGGCTCCCTGCTCAGCGGGGAGCCTGCTTCTCCCTCGCCCTCTGTCCCTCCCTGCTTGTGCTCTCTTTTGCTCTCTTTCTCTCTGTCAAATAAATAAGTAAAATCTTTAAAAGAAAAAGAGAAAGGATTCCTGCATGTTGCTATGAGATATGCAAGCCATTAAAGAAATATGGAAATCTACGGCTGGGCCAGAATGAAGAATGGAACAGAACTCTTAACCTCTGTGATTTAAATGACTGCATTATGATTTTTTAGCTCTTTGTTTTTTATGTGTATGTTGAGATTTTTAAATGCAGTTTCCACTAATATTAAAAAAACGGGAATTTTGGAAACTAGTAAATTTACTTCAGGAGAAATTGCCAAGCATTTACACTTGCTGATATTTTCAGAGAACTCATTTTGAAGAGCAGCTCTCTGATAAAAGTTAGCTTTTAAGCTGTTCTTAGTTTTTATACATAGGAATACCTCAGTCTGTTGCTTAAGTCAGTAACTTTCATTTCTCTCTGTCTCATTTTTTAAGCCCAACCACACTCAGAAATATGACCAACAAAGGTTGAATAATTAGCCCCTGAATTATATCATTAATTCAAGAAGACTTTTCTTGAAAGAATAGTGCCACTTGTATTTGAAGAGATTTTTGAGAAGCAAAAAAATACAGCCAAATATTTGAGGGCAGTTAATTACTATTGATTTTACTCTAGAAATGAAGCAAGTGATTTTCAGTTGCTATAGAGATGCTTCAGTACATCTGTAAACATGGTTTTTGTTTTTGCATCTGCAGCGCAAATCCAGAAAAACCCTGTGCATCATCATTTTTATCATTGTCATTGGAGTTGTAATTCTCGGTCTCATCATATGGAAAGTGAAAAGCTAAATTATAAAGGAGCACCCTATTGCACTACATTCTCTAAATTATGTAGGAGGATTCCTGTAATCATGGTTTTTTTATTACTGTTATTTTAAAGACACTCCATAAAGGATGGTTCCCATACTTTGTTATTTTCATTTGGGGGGGGGGGAGTTTCCTTTGGATTCAATCTGATATTTTCTAACACTGAAAGTTTTTCTCAGTATGACTGCTGGCATTATTTCCATGCTTTTCAATCTAATATTGTGAGGTTTTGTCCACATTGTATATGCCTTTCATTTATAATTTATTTACCTGTTGACTTAGCTCTTGGAATTAGTAAATGTAAAGGTGTGCGTGTGTTCCATGTGTGTCTGTCTCTGACAGAGTGATGTGCATTCAGAGTTGTGTTCCTTCAATTAAAAATCTCAAATTTAGTTTCAATTTGAGCCAGCAGCGGAAATATTCTCAATAACTTAAAAAAAATATATCATACCTGTTTGTGGTGTGTTGTTTTTTTTTTTTTCCTGGTTCATAGCAGCACAAATTATTTAACTTTACTTGTTGGTTTTCTCTTAAGACCCTTGTTTACTCTAAATGAAATCAGTGAATAATTTCCTAGAGTATCTCATACTCCTGATGTGTACATATTAAGCATTTGCTGTAGATTGCCTCGTAAAATATTAAGGATAGATTGTTTTTACATAGGCCCTGTTTAAGTCCGGTGTTTGCTGGGGTATGTGTAGTCACAATAAATGTTTAATGTAATTTGAACGAAGAGTATGAAAAATCAGTACCTATAGCATTAGAAATCCGAAGATCCCAACTTGTTATTTTGCTGTGTACTTCCACAGCTATTACTGTGGAAAATTAATTATCTTCCCTTAAGTCCTTTAGAATAATGGCTACATGTGTATCCTTGGGTCAGAATTACTTTGGGGGAGCAACTTTCCCAGAATTATTGTTTTTGAGCACTAACACTTAAAATTTAGTGTTTACCTCGCATACCATTTTGTAACATCTTTCATTAGAAAACAATTTGGTGTTTGCCAATTAACTCACTTGCTTTTTTTAAATCGATGTTGTTTTAATGCACTAATCTGAATACTGTAAAGAGGATTATCTTAGTTTATAGTTTGTATTTTATAACATTCTTATATAGCAGTTTGATAGTGAAGTCAGTGTTTTACATGGCAAAGCTATGAGACTTCAAATGGGAACAAATAAAATGTTAAGTAAGTAAACTGTATCTTTGCAACCAAAATAAAGATGATTTTAAAAGTGTCTGGATAGTTCTGTGTCATGAGGACTCTGCTTCTGTGGGAGCAACACTTGACATAATCACACAGCAGCCCTTCTTTCTGGAGTACTGGTTTATTTAGTGTTTTAGTTTGGCAATCTTAAAATGCATGTCAGCAAAATGCCATTTTTTTTTTTTTTCCTCCGTAAGAGACTGTAGAAAATTTTCTTGTGAGTGAGTGATTGGAAACTTTGAGACTCGGTGTTTACCAAATCAGTTTGCTTTAGTGAACAGGACTGGCCAGGCAGGGAGAGGAATTTATACAAATACTACCTGTGCTGAGGTCAGTGCAAGCCCATCAGGCCTGATTGAACATGTTCTTTCTCTATAAGAGCACAGAGAAGCGTGTGATAAACCGGTATCTTATGGCTACATAAAACTCCCACAGCTCCCACAAATCAGTTCAATTTTTTTTTTTTTTTTGCACAGTTGTACTTGATAAAATGTTTATTCTCATAGAGGCAAATGCACTCACTCAGTTCGCTTCCTGATGAATTCCCAGTAACAGCAAAACCACTTAATTTTTTTTGCGTGATTTTAGCACATTCATTTAATGTGTAATATTTTATAAATTATTTTACCTGGGACACAGATCAGTGATTAAAAACAGGAACCTTAGTGGCTTGCATTCTTTTAAGAAACATAATGATTTTTGAAGGAAATTTTTACCCCAAAATATTTGGAACACAAAGAGTAGTCTTGATTTGAAAAAAATCAAAGGAAAAACATAGCACAATAGCCAAGGTTTTCAAGTTCTCGAAGTTTTCCTTCAGGTTAGTCTTAGAATCACATTGAAAGGTGAAGCTCACACTATGGAAAATAAAATGAAGTTGTTTTTATGACAGTCAGCATATTTGAATCAGTCCACATAAGCCTCAAACTGAAGAAGTTTCCTCGTCAGGTGACACATTATTGTTCATTTTAGCGGGCTCCAAAGACATTCTCGAACGGCGCAGATTGAGATCAACCAGCCTCTGAAATTGAATGAGAGTGTGGCCTGAAGTGTTTGACTCTTGCACTGGTCATTAAATACGGAAGTGTTCTGGTTTTGCACAACGATTGATGGTAAAAAAAAATATAACAGGTGCCATTTCAACATAAGGCAGCTTGTCTGTTAGTCGGCAGGGGAGCAGTTCTAGAAAAATAGACGTGTGGGCACAGACAGAGCTTGATCTAGGCCAGCAAACCACGAAGGCGGCAGTTGGAGTCAGGCCTCCGAGCGTTCAGCGCGCCCAGCAGCATCCGCAGCGCTGTCGGACACCACTTATCTCCAAGAGGTTGCCACCGACTCCTTCACTGTCGTCATGGCTTTTTTTTTTTTTAAGTAACATTTTGTACACACAGAAAAACAGTGTTTTGAATATCAATGTTTTTCAACAAGTTTATAATGAAAAATGATTTTTGAAGACTTTTTGTTCCACAAAATCAGCCTGTGCTTTAGCAAAGAAAGTGTGGAATAGTGTTTCTAGTTGGTGTAATTTTTGTTGCTGCATGTAGAAAAAAACACAATAAAAGATAAAACCTGTCTAAAGAAAAAAAGTCCTCGTCCACCTTCATGGTAAAGAACAATTTACAAGGGGAACGTATTTAGCATTTATGTTTTTAAAGTCAGAACTGAGTACTGTTTGCACATATGACCAGGTTGCTGGAATAAAAGGAAATTTCCGAAGGGGATACCATTTGGGCAAATGATGAGTTAACTGGCGTTTTTTTTTGGTTCATTTGGATATGAGGAAGAGTCCTCATTAGTGGTAAAGAACATCATCAGGCATCCTGCTTTCCTGAGGGGGGGGGGGTGGAAAAAAGTTGTGCGTTTTCATGAGTCACTTAAAATGACGCGCTTCCCCGGATCGCAGACCTCTTCCATCCACCCTAAGATCTGAACAGCTTCATGTCTCAAGCAAGGAAATACACTTAGCAAAACTTTCACCAGCCGGAGCCTGAAAGGGCTACACTGTACCACTTCTCTGACAGAATGCATGACCTTACCTCACACTAACCCATTTTCTCATCAGTGAAACACTGCCGTTTTAATCCTTTGTTTCGGCAATTATTTGGTTAACGTGAAAATGTTGGGATAGCTTATTTTTCTTCAAATAATCCTAATTTTAAATGCAGAAATAGAACTAAGTAACTGACACACTAAATCGATTTTTATAGACACTGTTGCTTCTGGCAGGTTTTTAAGAGGTTGGTCACTTAATTACTCAGAGTGGGATTCCTGTAGGTTTTGTGTAGTGATGGCATTTCTGCTTAAAACGTAAGTGGTGGAAGGCAAAAACCAGATTTCCTGTGCAATCGTTCTATGCATAACACCCCTGCTTGTTTGAGAGGGAGTCTGCTAGAACTGAACCGAGTCTTTAAATAAACTTGAAAGGGTACTAATGCCCACTTTGGCAAACCCAAAGTACAGATTTTTAAGTGTTTACTGTAAGTACTGCTAGACAGTAGTTGCTAACTCCAAAACCTATTAGCCTTGGTGGAAAACTTAGAAATGCAGTTATTTAGCCTCAGTGAAGAGTTCCAGACACTAATTTCAGTTTCCAGTGCCTTCTGAAAGTTTCACACCAGCTGTTTCATGGCAAATCTGAAATAACTGAAGTCAGACCAGATAAAAAGAACCAAGTTTACATCCCTAGGAACTAGAGATTTTAACCCAAGACAAGGACACAAGCTTTTAGTAACTTGCATAGCTGAGACCTGATTTTTCTAAAAAGCTTTCAGGGCAAGGCAGATTCTTAGGTCAGTAATGATTCTAGAAATTAAAAAACAAAAAAACAAATTATAACTTAGTGGAGAATATTGTTTTTCATCCTTCCAAACCCAGGTGCTATGGTCATTTTAAGTTCATTTAAAGGCGTTTCCAGTGTACCTGACCACATCTGACCTATTTCCAGTGCCAGACTTAATGTTTTAATCTTCCTAAAGGTTACCATAATTTTAACATTTAATTATTACTTTGTGGTGGGGCATCTACCACAATTCAGTGAGGTAACCATCATATGTCATTTAAATTAGTTATATCTTGGATGCAAAACGATATTGTTTGTTCCAAATTAGGACTTCCCTTGTGTCTTTTCCTGATCTACATTCAAACATTTTTCTTAGTAATGTAGAAATTGTCTATGTTACATTAAATTTCTTAAGCCTGAAATGGAGACCACAGACCAGTACTTACCTTTGGAATGGCGTGGACATTTAAAATAAAGAGCCCATTTTATAAAATGTAAAACATGTTTAATGCTAAAATTTTATTTATTTTTGAAGATTTTATTTATGTGAGAGAGAGGGAGAAGCAGGCTTCCAGCTGAGCAGAGAGCCCCACACAGGACTCTGTCCCAGGACCCTGGGATCATGACCTGAGCCAAACGCAGATGCTTAACCAACTGAGCCCCAAAGGCTAAAATTTTAAATTAAACTTTGATTTTGAGGTAACAGTAAATTCACACACAATTGTAAAAACCAATACAGAGATCCCTCTTGTACTTTTCACCCAATTAATCCCAGTGGTAACATCTTGCAGAACTACAATATCACCACCAGGATAATGATATTGACAAAAATATGTGTAGAACATTTCCACATACAACATTCAAACACAAAGACCCCTCCTGATGCCCTTTTATAGCCACACCGACTTTGCTCAAGCCCCCATCCCCTTCTTCCAACCGTAATCTGTTCTCCATCTTTATAATTGTTATTTCAATAACATTATGTAATCGGGATCATACAGTATGTAAGCTTTTGGGATTAGCTCTTTACATTCAGCATAATCCTCTGGAGATTCATACCACTTGTTACATGTATCAAGTGCATCTGATCTTTCAGTTTTCAGTGCTGAGTAGTGTTCCATGGTATGGATAGATCACAGTTTAACCCTTTACCTGCTGAAGGCTATCTGGTCAGTTTGGACTATTATGAATAAAGCTATGTTCATTTGTGTACAGGTTTTTGTGTGAACATAGACTTCATTTCTCTGGGATAAATGCCCAGCAGTGAAATTGCTGAGCCATATGACAGTTGAATGTTTAGTTTTTAAGAAATTGCCAAACTTTTCCAGAGTGGCTATTCCAGTTTACATTCCCACCAGCAATGTTTGATCCAGTTTCTTCACTTCCTTATCGGCATTTGGTGATGTCACAGATTTTTATTTTAGTTACTGTAATAGATTGTTTTATACTTCACCAATGGCTAATGATGTTCACCTTTCCATGTGCTTATTTGGCACCTGTATGTTTTCTTCAGTGATGTGTTTCTTCATGTCTTCTCCTCTTTTTCTAATTGGGTTGTTTAGTTTTTCATTGTTGAGCTTTGAGTGTTTTTTTTTTAATATGTATTCTAGATACTAGTCCTTTGTCCAATATCTAAATTAATTTGCAAGTATTTCCTCCCACTCTGTAGCTTGTCTTCCTCTTAACAGGGTCTTTCACAGAGCAAAAGTTTTTCATTTTGATGGGTGAAGTCCATTTTATCGATGTTTCCTTTTTATGGATCATGCTTTTGGTATCACAGACTCTTTGCCTAGCCCTAGATCACAAAGATTTTCACTTTTATCTTCTTTTCTAAAAGTTCTGTGATCTTACATTTTACTTTTAAGTCCATGATCCATTTAGAGTTAATTTTGCATGAAATGTGAGACTTACATCTAGGTTTTGTTTTGGGTTTTTTTTGCCTATGATGCTCAGTTGTTCCAATATCATATTTGTTGTAAAGGCTGTCTTTACTCTATTGAATGGTTTTTGCTCCTCTATTGAAAACAAGCTGAACAAAAATCAGTTGGACATATTTGTGTGGGTCTATATCTGGTTCGTCTGTTATATTCCATTGGTCTATGTGTCTATACCTCCACCAATACCAGACAGTATTAATTTTTCTGTTTGATAAGACTTGAAATCATATAGACTGCTTGTTTATACTTTATTCTTTTTCAAAATTAGGTGGTTTTGTCCATTGTCTTTCCATATATGTTTTATTTTTTTTATTATGTTATGTTAATCACCATACAGTACACCATCAGTTTTTGATGCAGTGTTCCATGATTCATTGTTTGCGTATAACACCCAGTGCTCCATGCAGTACGTGCCCTCTTTAATACCCATCACCAGACTAACCCATCCCCCCACCGCCCTCCCCTCTAGAACCCTCAGTTTGTTTCTCAGAGTCCATAGTCTCTCATGGTTCATCTCCCCCTCTGATTTCCCCCCCTTCATTTTTCCCTTCCTACTTCTTTTTTTTAAGCATAAAAAATTTTAGAATAATCTTATCCATATTTATACAAATATCTTGCTGAGATTTTTGATAAGAATTATGTTAAACCTGTATACCAGTTTGGGGAAATTTGACATTTTACCACGTTGAGTCTTTCAATCCATGAACACAAGATATCTCTTTATTTATTTACATCTTCTTTGATTTCTTTAGTATTGTGTAGTTTTTAGCTTATTAAGTTCTATATATGCTTTTATTCGGTTTACACCTAAGCATTTCATTTTTTTGAGAGATTGTAAATGATACTGTTTTTTAATTCCCATATTCACGTATTTATTGCAAATATATATGCAATTGTTTTTTTGTATGTTTATCTTGTATGCTGCGATCATGCTTAACTCACTTATTAGTTCTAGGAGGTTGGTGTAGATTACTTGGATTATCTTACATAGAAAATCATGTGATCTGCAAATAGCAATAGTTTTATTTCTTTTGTTCTGATCTGTATGCCTTTTATTTCCTTTCTTAATGCAGTGCTTAGAACTTTCAGCACTATATTTGAATAAGAGTGGGGAAGGGATATCCTTGCCCTATTCCCAATCTCAGGAAAGGATTTAGTGTCTCACCATTAAATATAATGTCAGCTGTAGGTTTCTTGTAGATACTCTTCATCAAGTTAAGGAAATTCCCTTTATTCCTATTTTTCTGAGAGTTTTTCTTTTCATGAATTGGTGTTAAATTTTGTCAAGTGTTTTTTCTGCATCAATTGATATGATCATATGATTTTTCTCCTTTAGCCTATTAATATGATAGATACATTGATTGAGTTTTGAATATTGACCCAGCCTTGCACCCCTGAAATAAATCCCTCTTGGTCATGGTGTATAATTATCTTTATATGTTACTGAGTTAGACTGACTAATGTTTTGTTAAGGATTTTTGCATTTGTATTCATGAGGGATATTGATCATAGCTTTCTTTTTTTGCAGTGTTTTGTCTGGTTTTACTATCAGGGTAATAGCTTCAAAATGAATTGGGAGGTGTTCCTTCCTCTTCTATTTTCTAAGAGGTTGTTTAGAATTGATGTTAATTCTTTTTACACTTGATAGAATTCTCCAATGAAAGCATCTAGACTTTGGAATTTTGGTGAGGGAGTTTTTAATTATAAATTAAATTTCCATAATAGTTGTGGGACTGTTTAAGTTACCTATTTCATACTGAGTTGTGGTAGTTTATGTTTTTCAGAGAATTGGTCTATTTCATCTCAGTTTGTCAAGTTTTTGTATGTGGGGTTGTTTGTAGTATTCCTTTCTTATAC